TTCAAACTCCAAATTCAACTGACTAAAACACAACTCTTTCTATCGTTAAAAAGAAGATGGTTAAGCTAATTTATAATAAGAAAGAAATTTGTTCTGACTGCTGTACTTGCAATATATATGTGTGGTATATATGGACCTGGAATTGTTATTCTTTCGATCTGAAGCTTTTGATGACATGATATCTGTAATATCTAGTCCACTAAACAGAAGGTTTTGGAAATTCAGTGAAGATAAACCTTTTATTTGATATTAGGACAATGTTTGACCTGGATTATTTTTATTCTGTATTGTCTGCCAAACAAAGAACATGTTCAAGATAGATTTAAAGAATTTTGAAATGGTATGTTTGTTTATGTATAATATTTTGATGTCTTTGACATTGTAAATGAAACCCATTTTTAGCTTTATAAATAAGTGGTTCACTGGTTCCTTTGCTGATAATTGTATAAATTGAAGTTATTGATTCTGCAATATATGAAACCAATATTTATGGTGGCATGGAATGTATCTAGAATTGTGTACTTTAACAACAAATGCGTGCATAATTGCATATATTTTAATTAGCTCTAGTTGTTTAAAGATGACATTCCATGGGACTTTGGATAATTTGCTTGCTTGAGATGATGTTTTATTTGCACCAACTCTTCATTTCCAGGTCCTTGATTTTACAGACCATGTTTGGACATAGTGTTATTCAGAAGCCCCGGGAAGGTAAAAAAAAACCCAAATTGATGCCTTTTAATCTTCAATTGGGAAGGATCCCTATTATGTAGCAAAGAGGCTAAACTATGTGGTCATTTCACGAACTAATTATTCATTCATTTTTGTACAGATTAATGCATCTTGATCCTTGTGAAGCAATCTATGACAGACTGCTATTATATGAAAAAGGATACTCTAATTTGTGTTATTATCCATTTTTCAGGGAAAAAATCTTTTATTTTTGTTTTGATACTACAGTTATAGTAAATGATTCCTTTCTACAGGTGGAAAAAGAAAATAAATTATGTAATTGCTATTGCAAAAGATGGAGTTTATGATGTCACTAAACGTTACACACGGAATTGTAATGAGGTAATTATGATAAAAAAAAATAGCACTTTATTGCCTCTAATGCTTATTTCTTCTTATTATTGGTATTGCTTATCTATGCATTGTTATGAAGAAACATGATTCTCTTCCCCAAACTCATCTTTTTGTTCATTACCATTTTTTCAGGTTTTGTCTCGACGAACCATTACCAGAGAGTCCTCTCTGGTGTATGCTCTCACTTCAATGACCAAAGAATACCGAAATAACTTTATATCTCAAATTCTTTCAGTATTGGAAGATCGTGACAAAATTGAAAGGGAAGCTCTAGATAGAGATTTACTTTCTACTGATGATGCTCCGATCTCTTTACCTGGGAGACAAAGTGGGGATAAGCAATGGCGCATTGCAAAGATCATAATTTGGGACAAACTCTCTGAGTTCATCTGCTTGTGAAGTTCGCATATGCAGAGACAGCACGTCACAAAAATCTATAATGTCTTTTCTTCTATACTTCATAAGTTTGTTGAAGAATCTGTAATTGCTTCAAAAGGTGTTGAAGTTCTCAAGATTCTTAGAGCAACCGTTGTAGATCTCAAGAAATTATCGTATAAAAAAAGGAGAGCTTCTTTAAGGTCAAACTCAATTGTTGCTACATCTTTGTTGTATTGGGTGCTACCCTCCTTTAATGAATTTCTTAATGCTCTTTCACTGAAGAATTTTTTGTGTATATAATATAGCCAACATATATGATTAAGTTTAGAATGTCATGGCTATTATCTTTTGTAAGTCTGAACATTGTTGTTGCTTTTGATGGTTAATGTTATACTTATTTTTGTTATGCAAGCTAAACAAAGAACGTAAGCTTATCTCTTATCCTTCAGTTTGCACTTTTACTATTCATTTTGACTTTAGAACATTGTTGTTGCTTCCCAGTGTTTCTCATAAATGTTGCATCGTAATGGGTATCAAGAATACCACATGTTTTGTGTTCATCTAGCCTTGTCTGCAAAATAAAATGAATCTGATGTGTTGTAATAAAAAGGGTCTTGCAAAGTCAATAGGTTGTTGCTCGATATTGGATGTTGAGTTATGGGGTATTTATGAAAGTTTGAAGCTTCCATGGGAAATTTAACTCCATACTTGTAAGATATTTTTGTTCAACATTAGAATAACTAAGTGGATAGGAGAAAACTATCCCTTAATTATGTTCCGAACACCTATTTACTTCTCAATTTAATTCTTTATACCGGGTTGATCCTTATTCCATGTAAGCCTGGTTTAAATTGTTTTACTATATTGGTATGGCAGGGCATTCCTAAAAAAGGGATTAATTGTTACCTCGGCAATGTTAAAAATAAAATTGGGAATGGTTGCTAATGCTCTGCTTCAAACATGGACAAAATATTCAATAGTCAGATTTTCGAATCGAACTTCAATCTTCGGGAATTCCAAATCCACTATGCGACACCACAAACTAGAGCAAATTTTAAACAACAATGAAGACCACTCTAGGAGAGAATGATAATAACAACCTCAATCAAAAACTTCAAAATAAAATGCTGAAATTATTGAATGAATAAATATAAATTTTAGCTTTTGTTCTGATTTTAAAAAATGTTTAAATTATAAAATTTAGCTTTTGTTATCTTTAGGAGTAAAATAGTTCATCTATTAAAAATTTCATATGCTTATTTAGTTAAATCATTATATAAAATTTTAATATATTTTTAGATAATTAATGTAAAAAATAATATTATTTATAATTAAAATAAGACATGATATATTTACTCTTTTATTCTACCCATTTATCTTTTAAATTTTATAAAAAATTATATATAAATTTTATTAAAAAGTATATAAATTTAAAATAATAAAGTAATATATTTTTATGCTTTTTTATATGAATATTTTAATTTAAATATTTAGAATTCCACTTGTTAACACATATAGCACAATGACAATTTGGTAAAATATATATTCCAGTAATCTCATATTCATTCAACCAAACACTGTAATCATACATTCCTGCCAAACAAACCAAACACAATAATGTAACATTCCAGTAATCCTATTCCCTAGTAATCTTACATTCTCACTGGTAATCTTACATTCCCACTGGTAATCTTACATTCCCACTGGTAATCTTACATTCAAACATCTTGTATGCTCCACCACTGCAGGCCTTACGGCGGGGGCCTGATTCAATCGTCCCCCCAACCCCTTCTGATTTAGACTCTTCAACGGAAAGCTCACACAAATGGTGGTCCTGAACCCCTCGAATGGAGTAAAACTCGTAATGGGATGCACTGCATTCCACATGAACACCGAAATATTATTCCATCCATGTTTTAATCAAAATAATGGATGGAAACCGGGACGATTGCAACGCGGTGTTATGATTACTGTTTTTGTGATTTTAATTCAATATATTGGTGTCTAACATTTTGGGTATATTCAAGTAGACCAAGTTGCAGGATTTTCGTGCAGCGAGCACGTGGTGTGCCATGAATAGCTTATAATATTTAAGTTCGAATTCGAATGTCGAACTTTGAATTGAACTTGAATTAAGCTTTGATTCAAACTTGAGCCTCTTGTAGTACATCCCTATGTTAAACTGACAGTCTAACTGCAAGTAGGACTATAAATAAGATGAGATAGATCGTGAATTATTCAAGTTCCATTCGATTAAAATTTAATAAATACTCAAGTGGACTCAACTCAAACTCGAGTTAAACAAACAAAAACAATCTACTTATACTTGACTCTAAAAACTTAATACAACTAAAAAATAATAAAATATTAAGATTTTATTTTTGAAAAAAATAAAATTATTAATAATATTAACACATAAGTGTTGATTTTTTTATACATATTGATAAGATTTTCATGTACTTAAAATTCAAGTTCAAGTTTGATATTGAGCTTTAATCGAATTAGGTTTATATATATATATATTGATTTCAAACTTTTTTTGAACTTCAATTCATGATTCTGAATTCGACTCGAACTTGAAAATTTTAGGCTCGACTCAGCTTGTTTATAGCTCTAACTGCAAGAACCTTATATAACAAAGAGAAATAGGTGATTCTAGAAATGAATGTTGGAAAATCCAATTCCATTCCATTAATTTATAGAGTAAAAATTCAGAACTTGATTCATGAATCAAGAAATTACAATAGGCACACAACAAAATGAAGGTTCCAATACAGAAACATAGAACAGTAAAAGGAGAGTCCAAAAAGGAAATGAGAAACCCATGATACTCGGATTCATGAGCAAGTGTAGGATGCAAATATCTGTCCAACATATGTTCTCACAATCATGTTCGTAAATGCATCGAACTCGAATGACAAAGCAACAAACATACATTGAACAAAACATCCACTAGGATTACAATAGGCACACAACAAAATGCAGGTTCCAGTACAGAAACATAGAACATTAAAAGGAGATTCCAAAAAGGAAATGAAAAACCTATGTTACTCGGATTCATTTGCATGTGTAGGATGTGATATCTGTCCAACATATGTTCTCATAAATCATAATCAAGTTTTATATGCATCAGATTCGACTGACAGAAACAACGAACAAACATTGAACAAAACAACATCCACTAGGATTACAATAGGAACACAACAAAATGCAGATTCCAGTACAGAAACATGGAACAGTAAAAGATTCCAAAAAGGAAATGAAAAACTTATGTTACTCGGGTTCATGTGCAAGTGTAGTATGCGATATTCCTTCCAACATATGTTCCCATAATCATGTTCGTATATGCATTGGACTCAAATGACAGAGCAACAAACATACATTGAACGAAACAACATCCACAAATTTATGCATTTGAAGAGTAGTAGACACAAATATACATAACCAGAGGACAAGCATGGCAAGCTGTTCATAAGAACTACAACCTTATATCAATCAAGTAATAGATATTTTGATCAGATTTCACTACAAGTATTCAACAAGCATATAAAATAGATAGCTTCAATATATATTATATATATTTAACAAATATGGATATAATGAAGATCAAACCAGAAACATTCATTGACCCATTTTTTTTATTATGAATCAACCTAAGCCAACCCCAATACTGTCTCAAATCATTTCGACCCCCTCACAGAACACTAGCAAGAACATTAAAAACACTCAATTTTCTACTGACTTTAAACCCTAATAGAACTCTCAAAAGGCTGTGAGGGAAAGAAATGAAGGCAAACTTTCAGAACCTCTCCACTTTGTCGGCTTTAATGATGGGATTCGCATTGGCGATCGCATCACGCCCGGTGCCCTTGAAATCGAAGGAGCACTCATGTTTTTCCGGGTACCGATGCTCTCCGCAGAATGTACTCCCACAGCGACACTTGAACCCAGTCAACCCCACCTTCTTTCTGCAGATGAAGCACCTGTTCGACAACTTCGGCTCTGGGTTTTCGTCTCCGGCGAGGGCCACGACCGGTTGTTCCTCAACCTCAGTCGATGAGGAACCCTCGTGAGGCAGCTCCTCCACAGGCCTAATCGCTTCAACGATGACCTCATCTTTCGCTTGAACACCAAGAGATTTCTCCATGGCGGCTTTCGCCTTCGCCGCTTGCTCCTCCCCGGCACGGAGGTCGCGGTAACACTTGGAGCAGAGGTTCATATTCGCCGCTGTGCCGAAAAACCCGCAACCGTTGGCGCAAAGCTTCGGCTCCGATTGGGTAAAGCTGGTTCCTTGATTCTGTTCAGAACCCATGTCGTCCAGATGAGCGTTTGCTTTGATTTCAACGGTCAAAGACGAAGAGACAGGATTAGGGATTAGGGTTTTGTTTTCAATTTTCTTCTTGATTTTCACGGAAAATCTGAAACAGTCCGAGTAGAATTAGCGAACTTCGAATCAAAATATATAGATTTTTCTATTAATCTCCTTATTTATATTGACGAATATAACCTCTACCTACTATGTTATTGAATACGGCCTAAACCGACTAGAAGGGTACTCTGGACCTTTACTTCACATATAAGATTTTTTTTTTGGAGAGAGAATTTATATACAAGATTTCAATTGAACTTGTATGGAAAGAAACGTAAGATATTTGGATAATTTTTATTAGGAGAAAATTTATGTTTCTTTAAAATTTGAAAATTATGTATATAATATTTTAAATACAAATATTTGTTCTTGTTTTGCATATAGTTTATTAAGATAATACTTCTGATAATATATTTTATTATAAGACTTTAATTTCTATCAAAATTAAAATTTTATATCACATTTAACTTTTATGTAGATAAATATAGAATTTAAAAAAAATTGTTGTAAATTTAAGATATTGTAATCTATGGTATGAGTAAGAATTTAAATATATTAAAATCTTTATAAATTAAATAAATTATTTGAAATGAGTACTTTTTAATAGAAAAGTAAAGAAGTAATTAGAATTTGGTGGTTGTTTTTATTAAATAAGTTGCTTAAATAAGCCTAAAACAAAATTAATTGAGATTAAAGTCAGTCTGATATTATTCTTAGAATATATAGTAAAAAAAGTATTTTAAGAAGTATGTATGAGATTTGTTTTTGAATTATTTAGTTTAAATTTGAATATTTGGTATTTTTGTTGAAAGAGATTTTAAGTAGATAAATATTTATTTTAAATATCATTTTTGAAAATAATTAAAAAAGCTAGAAATTAGAAATTTTAACTTTTAAAAATTAATTTTTAAACTAAAGTTGAAAACACTTTGAAAATAAAATATATGTTTAGTATCTAAATTATTACTTTTATTCTATTTTGGTATCTAATTTTTTTTTCAAAACCATACTTAACATTTAATTTTAATTTTAATTTTATAATATTATAGATATTATAAGTTAATAATACTCTGTTGTTATCTCCAATTGAATTTAAAATTCAACCACACACCTCGATCATATGTTATCGATATTATATTTTATTATTTCAAAGAAACCATTACACGAAACAATAATTTTATTATGTTATTTTTATCAAAATTATTAACTATTCTGCAGTAGTCTTTTACTAAAAGATACATCACAATCAAGGAACGTTCTTACTTCAATTTTTAGATAAGAATAGGGATTGCTCGTAAAGGTTCTGCCATTTGAAGTGCGAGCCCGGACTTCTCTTCCATGTTTATTTCATCTGATAAGATTCCACTCTATAGTTTCCAATCAAAGGAGTTTTGAAAGAGACCCTAACATCAAATGCAACATCCTATTTGCCAAAGGTAGTCCTGGACATATTCGTCGTCCACCTCCGAACGGGATGAGTCCAAAATCATTACCTTTGACATCAATTTCAGACCCCAAAACTCTCTCCGGCATGAACCTATTCGGATCCTCCCAAATGCTTGGGTCCTTACCGATGGCCCAAACCAACCTTGTGAACCCTCTGGAATTTCGAAACCACAAAGGTCGACATCAGAGCCGGCTCGACGAGGGAGTAATAGTGGGACAGTCGGGTGCATTCGAAAGGTTTCCTTTATGATTGCTTGCAGATATGGTAAACGATGTATGCCATATTCCTCGATTGGATTTCCTTTACCGATCGCTTGTTCTAACTCTTTCTTAGCTTTAAGTAAAACTTGTGGGTTGCGAAGTAATTCTGTCATTGCCCATTCTAATGTGCTTGACGTTGTATCAGTTCCAGCAACAAATAAAACCTGACATGTAGCATGATTAATCCAAAGATCCAACATTTATCTAAACAAATGGAAAGATAAAAAGATTACCAATAACAAATGTGAGACATGCGTTTTATTAAACTCCTCGAATCCGCCTTCAAGAATGTCAAGTAGAAATAAATGCTCGAGATTTTCTTGCTTGCAGCCTTTCATCGAGCATTTTATCGAAAAGATTAAGCATTTTCTCGAAATGAACAGTCATCCGACCACGTGTACCTTGAGTATCAATCTTGTGAATGTTGAAAAGTTAATAATGGTGGCCAACAATTTTGTTGCAAAATTGTTGAAAATCCAAAACTTTCGGTGGTTTATTAGTTTTCAACAGCCACCAAACTTTCGGTGACAACAATGGTTGAAAATGAAATGGTAAAATTATAAAATTTAGTTACTAAATTTTAGGGTATTTACAAGATTAGTCCTTAAGCTTCAACTATAAATACCCTAACCCATTTAACTTCAAAACCATCCCAAATCATTCTAGCTTTCTCCCAATATTAGAGAATTTAGAGAGTTTTCTTGAGAGTTGTTTTCTCCTTTTTATCAAGAGAGAATTATCATTGTTTTCTCTTTGATAGATCGAGAGAGGTTGTAATTCCTATTTTCTCATAGTGAAATTCTTCTACCGTTTCCCGTGGTTTTTACCCTATATTATTTAGGGATTTTCCACGTAAAATTTGTGTCTTATTTATCTCTATTTTTTATTTTCTCAAATTATCAGTTGCGATTTTGCTCTATCCGATAGCCGTATTCCGTAACAATTGGTATTTGAGCCAGATTAGAGTGTGTAATATCTACTTATTGTCTTTGTGGTTGCCACCAAAAGGTGGATCCTCCAACATAAGAAAGTAAGAATGTATTACCCATTCTTTGAAGGTTCCAGAGAACTATTCACGATAGTGAAATAATGAGAGCTATCCGTAATAGAAGCTATGACAATATAATTTGATATTGAAAAATTCAATGGGAGAAATTTCTCATTGTGAAAATTGAAGATGAAGGCTATCCTGAGGAAAGACGGTTGTCTAGCAGCTATCAGTGAAAGGACGGTATATTTCACAGATGATAACAAATGGATCGAAATGGACGGAAATGCTATGACAAACTTTCATCTAGCATTAGCAGATGAAGTATTGTCAAGCATCGAGGAGAAGAAGACAACTAAGGAGATATAAGATCATCTCACCAAATTGTAGGAGGCCACATCATTGCACAATAAAATTTTCCTTAAGAGGAAATTATACACTCTCCGGATGCCAGAATCTACTTCAATGACGGAGCACTTAAACACGCTGAATACTTTATTTTATCAGCTTACATCCCTAAGATGTACAATAAGAGAACAAGAACATGTTGAACTTCTACTTCAAAGTATACCTGATTCATATGATCAACTCATCATCAACTTGACAAACAATAATGTCATCAGTCTAGTCTTCGATGACATTGTAGCTGCTGTTCTACAAGAAGCAAATCGGCGCAAGAATAAGGAAGACATACAAGTAAATCTGCAACAAGCAGAATCATTGACAACGATGAGAGGGAGATCAACAGAACGTGGCCAAAGCAGCAGTCATAAACATGGTAGATCAAAGTCGAGAAGCAAGAAGAATTTAAAGTGCTACAACTGTAGAAAGAATGGTCACTTGAAGAAGGATTGTTGGAGTCTAAATAAAAACTCCAATCCACAAGGCAATACTGCAAACACTTTAGATGATGGAGATGCTCTATGCTGTGAAGCGTCAACCACCGTGGAAGGTAGAAAGAGATATACAGATATATGGCTCATTAATTCGGGAGCAACATATCACATGACCTCAAGAAGAGAATGATTCCATCATTATGAACCTGTCTCAAGAGGATCTGTGTATAGTTGCAATGATCATGCCTTAGAGATCGTTGGCATGAGAACCATCAAATTGAAGATGTATGATGAAACAATTAAAGTTGTTCGAGATGTGTGGCACGTGAAAGGCTTGAAGAAAAATTTATTATCCTATGGATTGTTGGATAATAATGCATGCAAGATTGAAACACGGAAAGGAATCATGAAGGTATTCTGTGGAGCGCTTGTGGTGTTGAAAGGAGAAAAGATAGCAGCAAACTTGTACATGCTGAAATGAGAGGCTTTGGTAGAAGCAGAGCCTCTGTTGCCTCATGTAGTTCAGATTCTGCAATGCTATGGCATCAGAAACTTGGACACATATCAGAACAAGGAATGAAAGTCCTTGTGGAGCAAAAGCTACTTCCAGACTTAACAAATGTATCACTTACTTTGTGTAAGCATTGCAGTACCGGTTGAAATTCAACACATCAAATTCTAGAAGCAAAAGTGTTATAGAATTGGTTCACTCTGACGTATGACAAGCACCAGTTACATCCCTAGGCGTAGCAAAATATTTTGTCTCATTTATAGATGACTACTCCAGGAGATGTTGGGTGTACCCTATTAAGAAGAAGTTAGATGTGTTTTCAACTTTAAAAAAACTTCAAAGCGCGAGTGGAACTTGATTCTGGAAATAAGATCAAGTGTTTCGGAATAGATAATGGAGGATAATACACAAGTGAAAGATTTAATGACTTTTGTAGGAAAGAATGCATCAAAAGATAGTTCACAGTGGCGAACACTTCTCAACAAAATAGAGTGGTAGATTAGATGAACAGAACCTTGTTAGAAAGAACAAGAGAAATATTGAGGGATGCAGGCCTAGAAAAATCATTCTGGACAGAAGCAATCAATATCGCCTGTTATTTGGTGAATCGAGCTCCATCAACTGAAATAGAGCTGAAGACAACAATGAATATGTGAATTGGTAAACCAACTGATTATTCAAACCTCCATGTATTTGGAAGTATTGTGTAAGTGATGTACAACTCCCAAGAAATTTCAAACCTGGATCCAAAATCCAGGAAATGCAAATTCTTGGGGTATGCTGATGGAGTAAAGGGGTATCGCTTATGGGATCCCACTGCCCGCAAAGTGATCATCAGCAGGGATGTTATATTTGTAGAAGATAAACTACAAAGAAAAGAAGACGATGATATCGCTGAAAAGTCAGAGACTACACAGATACATGTGGAAAAGGAGTTTGAACAAGGAGATTCTTTTGAAGCAAAACCAGCACATGATGAACAAGAA